AGCGAGCGGTCCCACCTGGTGCGGAAAGCACTTGGGCTGAAAGGGTACAACCGTTCGTTGGGCTCGAGGTCGGCGAAAGCGGTCTGTATGAGAGCCATGGCACGGACGTCGTCGACGCGTATGTGCTGCACTTTGGGCCTTCCGCGCAACGACGTCTTCGAAGAGTCGAGGCGCAGAAAGACCGCGGGGCAGAACAAAAAGAGGTCCTCAGGGAGCAGGAGGTGTCGTCGTTGGCAGTTTAGGACTTCACCAACTCTGGCCATACCGTAGAAGGCCAGCAACGCACAGCCACACCAGCGCTTATAACCTCTCAGCCAAGCCAGAGTCACCATCGCCAAAAGCAGCGGCTCGGGCACAGGCGTCCTGTGTATGACAGGTTCCACCGCTTCCCACCTTGACAGCAGTTCCCAGGCAGGCCCAAGGGAGCCCTTCAGCGAAATAATCGCTCTTTGAGCACCAACCAGAGTGTACCTGAAAGTGTGCTTCGAGCCACCAGCTTGAAAGAGCTCATTTCCATAAGCTCGCAAGGCCATGGCAGCTAAAAGAGGACAGACGACGAAGAGACCGACGGGGTCGACAGACAGAGAAGGGGAAACCCAACGCAGAAACGCCGACCAGGCGGAGGAGCCGAGGAACAGCGAAGCACCGGACTGAAGAGGTCGAGACTCGAGGTCCCCGGTGCGGTTGGCAGCACGGCGACGGGGCCCGGGATTCTTCGCTTCACCAACGCGGCAAAGGCACCCGAGCTTGGCACACGCGGCCGGGTCAAGAGGACGAACAGAAGTCCACTGAGCAGCTGCACACAACCCAACGGCCAAGGCATCGGCGAAACCTGCAGGCACCGTGTCGGCAAGAGAAGTCCAAGGAAGCCGCGAAGAGGAGGAGTGACCGGCCAGGCGAAGATGCCTGACAGGGGTTTTGCAAAGCAGCCGCGCACCGCCGAGGGAACAGTTGGTCGCGACACGCGTGCGCTTCCTCCACCGGCACCCAAACTGGCACATATCCACCCGAAAGGTAGAGGCGGAGTGTGCCCACGCCTCCTCCTCCCAACCAGGCAAGAGCCACCACAGCGAAGTGTCCGGCTGTCCAACCCAGTACACCACCTGCAGCTTCTCGCACAAGCTTCGGATATGCAAGAACCACTCAGCGAGAACATTGTCTGCAAGAACTTTTGCACGCACGAAAGGAGAAAGGTCCCACAAGCCCAAAGGGTGGCTTCTGGAGCGCACGGGAGGGCGTATCGCCCGGGAAAAAGAGGAAGCCGAAGGCAAACCGCCGACGGCGGAGAAAGCACCGGACAACAGCAAGGCCTCCAGCCGAGCTCGTAAGTCCACTGAGCTCAAGTCTTCTGCAGCAGAGCGCTGCGAGTCGAAAGTCAGCACCCAAGGGGCTCCGTACCTAAGCAAAGCGCGGGAAATCGAGCGCCGCGCAGGCGAAAGCTCCAGCACTCCAGGCACGGCCAAGTTCAACGGCCTCTTCGCACCGCAAAGGAATTGCCTTATGGGGAAGGCTTGCAAACCGGGAAGCCACGAAGGGGCGTCGGCGCCCAACGCGGCGCTGTAGCACACCGCTTGCTGCACGAAC